GAGAAGGGCGACCAGCAGCCGGCACCCCTCGCTGGTGTCCTTCCTTCCTTCCCTCGGGTGTGTCGAGCGGCTGCCCGAGAGGCAGCCACGCACCCGGATCCCTGCGCCTCCGGGCTCTGCCGGGAGCCGGGACGCATCCCTCAGCCGTGCCGGGGGCTCTGCAGGGAGCCGGGACGCATCCCTCAGCCGTGCCGGGGGCTCTGCAGGGAGCCGGGACGCATCCCTCAGCCATGCCGGGGGCACCGCTACCCTGGGGTGAAGCAGCTCTGCGAGCTACCCCAGCTCAGGCAGCTGAAAGGACATAGCTCTTTCTCCACGCCAGAGGTTTTTCACGGCTGGAGGCCCTCGTGTGTATCAGGCAGTGAAGGGCAGTGCTGGGGTAGCATATCCACCCACTCCTTGCAGTAGGGAATGGATCATCACTAACCCGTGTTATTCAGAGCCTGCTTTTTGAAATTACTCCTAGAGATTTTGGATTTTCAGGATAAAACCCACCACCTGCCACCCCTGACCTCAAGCTCTGTGGTAGCCAACTGGATTAAATCAAAGAGATTGAAGCAGCTGGGAAGGCACCAAGGGACCCCACCTCCTCCAGACAGCAGCAGAACTGTATTTAACAACGTGCCCAGTGTAGCTCTGCAGCCTGAGCACAGGCTTGCACAGAGAGATCAATTAATGCACTATCAGCTGTGAGAAATATTACACTGTTTTCTGCTCCTGTAAGTATTTACTAACATATAACTGTATATGATCTCAAAAGTTCCAGCCCTTTGGGAAATCTACATTACATGGACTGAAGACACAGGTATTCTGGGATAAATGTCTTACACAGAAGTACATAGGGTATTTTTTGGCAGGGTCAAGAAAATTTGTATTATTTCTCCTAAAGGGACTTGGTTTGTGCCAGATAGAACACCTAAGAACTGTGCCACTTCCTGAACTCATGCTAGGTTTAAATTGCTTATTTTTACCTCAGCTATTACAGATCAACTAATCTGCACAGCAAAAGAGGATCCAGGAAGTAACGGGGCAAGGTCTCTTCTACTTCTTCTTAGCTAACCTTCTAGAAGACAACTAGATGGCCTCCACCTGCAAACCCAAAGCACTGAGATATTTTCTGAAGATCAAACTTTGCATTCAGTTAGTCACTCCTGTCCCAGAATGATTCAAACGAATGGATTTATAGTCTTTGTACATAATATTTTTTATAGAACTCATTATCTTGTTTCTCTTACATAATGCCAATAATCTGTGAATAAATTCAAACAGCTTGAATACTAAGGTTTGGGTTTTTTTTAATCCCTAACAAAGGTCCTTTCAAACTTGACCAACAAAGGCAACTTTTGAGATAAACAGCTGAACAGAGTTCTAGAAGTTGCAAGAAACTGGAGCACATTCAAGGGCACTTCATAAGAAGTCATTCTCCTGGCCATCACTCTACTTTTGCCTTAGCTTCTTAAAGTAGTTCTTGGCAAACTCCTTCCGAACTTCTTCCTGCCTCTTTCCAAGTTTAAGTGTGTTGATTAGGTTTAAGCTTTTTTTCAGTTCATGCATAGGTTTGCTTACAAAGCCACAATATTTCCTTTTCGGAACAAATTCCAGAGCCTTCTTCCAGTCTCCAGTATCTTTCAAGGTTAGTAAAATATGCATCATTTGATCCAGTGTGAGATTTTTGCCACCACTATTCCAAAGCAGGTACTTCTCCAATGGAAGGGCCGCGGTCTCCAGCCCCAGTCGCTTTGCCTGTGCTAAGGAGACGCCTTTTTTTATGCTCTTGTCAACCATTGACCCAATAATATAAATTTTATCATGATCAAATGTTTTCATTACTTTGGGAGAATCAGCAGTTAGATAGACGAGCTTATCCTTTGGAAAGATCTGTGTGTAGCACTGGTCAGTTGCAGTTATGAGCAGTCTGTCCCACGCCTCTCTGTAATGCTTGACAAATTCCTGGCGGTAGAGACTGTCGTCTTTCAAGTTACAGAAGTGGATGTGGAACGGATCTGCAGATCTTCGATTGCTACCTTCACTTAGCACTATCTGTCTCACTGTGTTTACAACTTCTCGGACGGACATGTCTTTTTCGTAAGACATGTCAAATACTAGAGGTTGGCCAAAGATCATAGACTGAGCAACCCTCCAGTTGTACGCTCTATCCATAGAGCTGGCCCACAAACATATGAATGAAGTATTTTTGATCTTATCAGTTTCTGAACCTTCTTCTTGTGCTGCCAGCCTCCTTTCCCTTTTCTCATCCATCTTTCTCTTGTCATTTTTCTTGTAAAGTTCTTTGAGATGCAAGTATTTTAAATACTTCTTTTTGGCTGACTTGGAAGGACATTCCATAAAGGTTTTTAGCTGTTCTTCACTGATATTTTCTGGGACTGATCTCCCAGCTAGCCTCCACATCTCCAAAAGCTCACGTGCAGCAGCCAAAGAGGGAAGTTCCTTACGCTCAGATACTGTCTCACGGACTTCCTCTTGCAACCCAGACTTCATTACCTTCTTCCATGCATCTAAATCTAATTTTTCTGAGGGATTGCATGAATTGTCCTGCTTCAGGCAAAGTGATAAACTCAGAGTCCTACTGAGTGGAAACAAATCCTTTTTCATCCCATGTTGTGCAGCAAATGGAAGGACAGAACTTCTTACAATTTTTTTCAGAAGCATGTTAGCAGACTGCATACTTAAGACATCCGCTGTTGTCAAACACTTATCTGCAAAACACCAATAGAAGGGGAAAAAACTTAGTCAGAGATCATGAAGCGCACACAGATTTTCCTTCTTAGTAACACTGACAGGCAATAACTTACTTTTTGGAGAATACCAGAAATTCCTGCTTTCACTATTACTTTTCTACTCTTTTCTAAATAAAAACAGTTTGTGTGGCACTGCTGTAAAGAGACATGGTTAGGTCTGCTGCTTAAAACAGCTACCCTTACAGCAATTCAGAATGCGTTCAAACAACTTTTAAGTATTGTCTGAGATCTATTTAAGTTATCTACATAATGTGACAAGTGAGAACCTTCACAACCAAAGCAAGCAAAATGCTGCATGGAAACAATATTTTTATACATATCCAGTGGTGCCTACTTAATTTACCTATGCTTTGACAAGTTGTTTCATCTTGTAACATTTTCTGGAAAAACTCTGTAACACAGAAGACAGGCTGAGTGAGTTGGGGCTTTTCAGCCTGGATAAGAGAAGGCTCTGGGGAGAACTTATAGTGGCCTTCCAGTACCTGAAGTGGCTAAAGAAAAGCTGGGGTGGGGCTTTTTACACGGGCTTTTAGTGATAGGACAAGGGGGAATGGTTTTAAACAGAAAGAGGGTAGACTGACAGTAGATATTAGGAAGAAATTCTTTAGTGTGAGGGTGGTGAGACACTGGCACCGGTTGCCTTGGGAAGCTGTGGCTGCCCTGTCCCTGGAAGTGTTCAAGGGCAGGTTAGATGGAGCTTTAAGCAACCTGGTCTAGTGGGAGGTGTCCCTGCCCATGGCAGGAGGGTTGGAACTAGGTGATTTTTAAGGTCCCTTTCAACCCAAACCATTCTAAGATTCTATGATTTGGGGAAAAATCTGACAAACTTTAGTACTGAAGTTCTGTGCATCTCTCTATGCATTTCCACATTGCAGGTCATTGAAAGTACCAATGCAACAGTTTTGTTAAACCAACACTACTGCTAATTAAGGTGCTCTCAGGTCCCATCAGCCCTGTGTTTCTGGCTCTGTCAGCAGTGCAAGTGTTCAGGTGGCCACACTATGAGCCAAATCAGAGAACTGATCTTAGGGACAGCTAAGCACCTAGCCAAGAGGTGAAGAAAGGTTAAAAAAAACCCCAAACCAAACGAAAAAACAACTAGGTATCATCGTGAGTTACCAGACACCCCCTAGAAGGGAGATGGAAGAATAAACAACTAGTATAGGAAAAGACATCTTTTTTCTTTTTGCTGAATTGCCCGTGAAGCTGATGTTGGCACATAAAGCTAAGCACTTGAAACCCACAGTTCCATTAACTTCATATGCATTTGTATTTAAATGTAAAAGGTCAGGAAAAAGAAAAAGACTCATGATGTTAAATATTTCCCTTCTCCTATGCAGACCTACTTAAGTAAAATCAAAGATGTTTCAGTGTTTGATAAAACATTATTTGGTTCAAAAGTGAAAAATATGCTCCAAATTTTGAAAGCAAAATTCATCATCTCCCGAATAACTTACCGCCTGAAAATAACTTGATATAGAGAACAAGTTAAACGTAATGTCGGTTTTACGCACATTCCTGCCCAGATAAAAAGAGTCACATTTAGACGTTATATAAACCAGCACGCATTTTATGATACTGAGATTGGCCGGAGGCTCTTAACCGGCATTTTAGAACCGGAGTAATTCGGCTGCTTCCCCAGCACGGATCCCCGCGATAGGCAGGGCGAGGAGCGCGCCAGGCCCGGGCACCGCGCGGCTTTCCCAGAGATCACTCTCTAGCAGCGCTTAAACCAGCCCGGAACCGACCCGCCCCTGGGCCAGCCAGGCCCCGAGCCCCGCA